TAATACACAATGTACTATTATAAATGCTACTCATTTATTTATAATACAATAACTTTGGTTGTATAATAAGTATATAAGAACCATTTTTTTAAGCAAAAAAAAATTTTAAATAAATGTATGTCGTGTAAGGGAGTCACCACACTTGTGGAATCGCATTCACACAGTCAGAAAAAGCGTCATGTCCTTTTTTGAGCTCGGACATCCGACGTAGAACGCACATCATGTTTTTCATAGTTTTGCATGCATAAAGCTTTTTCGGACCGGCTCAACTGGTGAGCCCTGGTGACTCCTTTAAACTTATTAAAATAATAAAAAAAATATTTGTAATTTTGTTTAAATGTTATGAGCATGACACTTGCTCCTATTGTAACTTAAATGTAAGGTTTTGATAATTATAAAAAAATCGAACTCAAAAGCTCGTGTAATTACATCTATTTGCCAATTTTTATTGAAATCGGTTACCGGAATGTGCGTGAAACCGGATTCATCCCTTAATTTGCCTCCCTTAGAGGTGGAATATTTTCTTCAAATTAAAAAAAGTATCATCATAATCGGTTCACAAATGCAAAAGTTATCGCGTAACATGCGTACAAAAAAATGCAGCCGAATGGGGACCTCCTCTTTTTGAAGTCGGTTAAAAATAGATTCTTCGGTGCGCTTTTAGATCGTCGCCAAATTCGTGTACAAGGTCCAGAGCACGTCCAGCTTGACATTGAAGAGTTAAATTCCACTCAATACCGCTTGCGATAAAAATGGTCCAAAGTGTCAAGGGTGTTGTTATTGGTCTAATAACCTAATATAGATGGTAAATAAATTCTGAGAAGAAAATGAACTGACCAGCTGGTTGGAGACGTCGGAGTGGTCCTTGCGTGTCATGCCCTCGCCGATGGCGGACTTCATGAGACGCGACAGCGACGGCAGCACGTTCACCGGAGGGTAGATTTGACGATTGTGCAGCTGGCGGTCCACGTAGATCTACGCAAAGATATACCAATCAATACCCGCTCCAAAAGAACATTGTTTACTGACCGCATCTAAAGCCGGATTTATATTTGTATCGGTATCACACATTTAATACGGTTAGATTTATATTAGTGTGTCGCAATTTTACGTGACGGCTTGAGGTGTGTATATGAAACCGATACCGTCCTGACGCGTCACGACACGACACGTCAGACAAATGTGAATTCGGCTTTATAAGATTTCATAGTCATGTCAATCGTGACGTCACACAATTATAATACTCCTTTTACAGGGAGTTCGCATAAAAAGACTTGAATAGAAGATTTACAAGGTACTCCTCATGGAGTCATCCCCATCAAAGTGAAGGCTGCATGTTTCGGGGACCTTTTGGGGAAGCCGAAGGTTTTGCCTGTATAATACAGGATCAGGACTTTTTCTAAGTATTCGATCTCTGTTATTAATAATTATAACAAACTAGTGGAGTAATTTACAAAAAAAATCGAATATCATGATAGTAAAACATCGTGATTTTTAAGTTTTATTGATAAATAAAACTTAAAAATTACAATCATAGCTACATCTCTAGTCAGCGATGGTAGCTGTAATGGTACCTCTCAGAATAAAGAAATAAATTTCTCTCAGATAGCGCTACGGCAAAAGTCGTTAAAAACCGAAAACAAAGATCCGCAAGAAGCACACAGAAAAAATCCTAAGGTCTGGGTTCATTCTGTGCTTAATTGGCAGAGCATCTGGCACGGATTGCCTGAGGGTGCTGGTTCTAATCCAGCCGGATCGAATTAATTTTTCTAAGTGTTCGATCTTTGTTAATAATAATTAATACAGGATGAGTTATCAAAATGCGGAACTCGAGGAAATAGATTTGGTAATTAGGTTTACTTAAAATCGCGTATATTTGTTTTTTTCAAAACAAACCAAAGTTTCGGACACTTTAAGGGTGTCATTGTAAAAATTACATGTTTGCCGGTTCCCAAACTTGAGTTTCTGATCCTTTTTATTGGGATCATGGATATACCGCCTCTCCCTCGTGACGCGTTCTGGAAACGGTGTTCCTAACGATTTTAGTATAAAAATTTATCAAACAATTTTTTTTTAATTTTTATACATTTTTTTTAATAGTGGACGAAAATACAGATGCGCGTTAGACACCGTGCAGCTTTAAGGCGCGTGACGGTTTTAAAATTTAAATTTTATGGCAAAGGCTGAAGCGAGACTCTTAAATAGATAATAATAATGGCTGGAATTAACATTATAATTATTAAAGTAAAAGGCACAGGACACCGACCTGTCCCTCAGTGATGTAACCCGTCAAGTCAGGGATGGGATGGGTGATGTCGTCGTTCGGCATAGTGAGGATGGGGATCTGGGTGATGGAGCCGTTGCGGCCCTCCACACGCCCGGCGCGCTCGTAGATAGTAGCCAAATCCGTGTACATGTAACCTAGGAACAGAATTTATTCACCGTTTACAAATGAAATAATAAATAAAATCTACATTACTGTTTGTTTTAATAATTAAACCTTAATTATTAAGAAACAATTACTGCGAAATAAGCAATACTATAATAAATAAGCTTCATTCTTGATACTTGTCTTTTAATTTTGCCGAATATTACTTATTTGACAGTAATTGTTTCGGACGGAGATCGAGAGCAGACCCCCTGATTATTTTTGACGCAAGTAAATAAGTACGACAACTTTAAAAACCATACAGTTAGCAACGAATGTACTTGCGCAAAACATTGGTGGTGGTGCAAAAAAATTGGTTGAGTTTGGTACATTAATCTAAACGAGTATCTTGTTTGTTCTGAAATATATTTCATAAGTATTATGCATCGAGTATATAACCAGAAATAGAGACGAAATAAGGGCCATATATTCCTGGTAACACATTAGCGATACCGCTCTTATAAATATCAACTCTCGTTTGCACTGAAATGTATGCCTACATTTCAGGGCTAACTACTGATCTGTGTGTACGTCTCCGTATATTCCAAAAAATATTCTGTATTTATTGTAATAAAGATAATATTCTCTAACAATGCTGTGCTGTTCTTCTATTCGGTGGTGTAGGAAAAACAGCAAAACATCTAATTACAAAACAAACGGAATCACATTTCATCGGTAATGAAATATTAAACATGTAAATTTGCAATTTTCGTCCTTTATAGCAAAGCTCAAGTTAACTGGTCAATTTGAAGTGAAACAGTTGACGACACCCGTCAATTTGTTTCGAACTCGGGCTAGCCAATCGGAGCGCACTTGTCACAGGAATGACATGGCAGAATAGTTTTAACAAATTAAATGACATTTCGTCTCTATTTCTGGTTATATACTCGATGGTATTGTGTAAGTACTTGTTTTGTTTTATCTATGTAATGTGGATTATTCTATTTATGAAAAGCATTTTTCACAATTGGACGTAGTTAAACAAAAAGGATCCAATGCACATACCTCGAAAGTGACTGGATCGTCACTTTCGAGGTATGGAAGTTTAAGTTTAAAAGTGTTTCTAACTCTTGTTTTATTTTCAAAACTTGTCATGGAAGTCCAAAGATATTTATTTATGTTTATATATTGGATTTTTTTACTAATCTAACAGGTTAGACTTTAGGAACCGTTTGGTAGGTACATTGTTTGATAATTTTGTGGATTGGATCCTTTTTGCATAGTTAACTACGTCCAATTTGTCCATATGGGTTCCACTCTTGTGGACCCCCATTAACGTTTCATGCACCAAACATTTTTTCGCTGACATGGGCCCCTTGTTTAGAATGGACTGCGGACTTTGAAAATCATCGCGTTATATTAATTATCGCAATTTTGTGACAATCCTTGTATGTCTGCATACGACAGCATAAGACGGTAGACGGCCGGCGGTATCGCCGAAGATTACAAGGCATTGTGTTGTATGGATGATATTGTAATACTGGGCTCACGACCTATGTTTATCTTTGAAATAGGACACTCTCCATTAATCTTCATATGTCTACCTTTTTTAGACACAAGCTACTGCTCAATTAAACCGAAAATACAGTGAAAATTTTGCCTAATGTTACATAATGTCTATTAGTCGAGAGACGGACAAATAGTGACTATTATTGTTTGTCATTGAGTTAACAATCCTATGTAAAATTTAAGCACAATCATCGTCATCAACCCATTTATACGTGTCACTGCTGGGCACGGGTCTCCTTTCAGAAAAGGCTTTTAGGCCATAGTTCGCCACGCTGGCCCAATGCGGGTTGGGGACTTCACAAGTTTTCCACGGGTTGTGAACCTTCTTCACCGAAAAGCTCATGGTAAATTTCAAATTAAATTCCGCACATAAATTCCGAGAAACTCAGAGGTGCGAGTCCGGATTCGGACCCGCGACCCTCTGCTTGAGAGGCAGTAGGTCAAACCATTAGGCTACCACGGCTTTTAAGCACGATATATTTGGTAAACAAACTAAAATCCACAAAAGAACAAACAGTAATAAGAAGCAAGCTGACTAATCGCAAAGTTTTAATGTCACGTGAAAAGCAAGTATAGGGCTTTCCATTAAGGCCGGGTACATTTTGAAAGTTCGTAGCGGCCATGTTGTTGAGGCTGCTTTTGTCAAATCTGTTGTATATTTTTCAGTCACTAAAGACAAATCATAATGGCAAGTTATAACGTCGAGCAACATGTGCAAATGATAAAAATTTATAATTAAAATGTGTGTTCTATCGTAGCAACGACGCGCGCACTAAATTAAAGTCTACCAGTCCTTGATGGAAAGTCCTATATAAGAATCTAGCCAATCACATGGCTTAAATGTTACAACGAATCAATCACGTGAGAAACTGTAATAAGAATCAAAATGGCTAATCGCATAGGTTTATTATCACGTGAAAACCAGTGAAAAGCAGCAGAGGAAAATCAACTTGCCAATCATATGACTTGTATATTACGTGAAAAACAGTAGTAAGAATCAAAGTGATTAAGAATTAAAGGCACATTTAGCAAGACACGAGAAAAATCCTCAAAATAATAAATGTTTATTCAAAAATCTGGTCAGACATTATACTTTTTTATTTTAGGTTTAATTTCAACACAAAAAATTAAATGACTGTAATGTTTTCGTTAATTTGTTTTGGTTTCCTAGCAATATAGGTTTGTCGAGTGGTTCGTGGTTAAATTATCAGTAAGTACCACTTACTTGACTATACTAGGGGTTGGGTGCCTGGAAACCCATAACACAAGCTCTGCTTAGTTTGGCCACAAGTCTCCAACAATACAATAATCTAAGCATGTGTAATAATAGCGTATCTCTACAATAATGTTCTTTGTTTGTTATTATCGAGATAAATGAATATAATATTATCGAACACACAGAAAAATTTTCGTCGACCCGGTGGGACTTGAGTCCTCGTCCATGCTGCACCGTAGCATTGCTCTAACCATCTGAGCCACGGGTCCAGTTGCCGAGTCGTCGAACTTCCCCTGTGTTTTTATGATAAATCTTTGTACTGACTTTCGGCATTCGTCGCCGCTAGTGACATCTAGTGACAGATTTTTGAACAACAGGCTGCGGTGAGAAGGTTATTCAAATATCTCTATAAGAATTTCGTCAACTCGATAACTTCTATTGTATAATAGTAAGTATTTAAGTTACCTGGGAAACCACGTCGTCCAGGTACCTCCTCACGGGCGGCGGACACCTCACGCAAGGCCTCGGCGTACGAAGACATGTCAGTCAAGATGACCAACACGTGTTTCTGCAATTACAATGTTCCATTACCTAATAATTCAACATTTTATTTGTTAATAATGTCATGATTATAAAGCTAACATTCCAAGCATGAAACACTTCTTCTTTGGTGATAAGTAGTAACAGGACGAACAAATAAAAATGTATTCTATTTCTTGCTCGTTCTTCTCTGGGAAGTCAGCACAGTGAACGAGAAGTAGCTTAACAATGACGTTTTCAAATGTAAAACATTTTACCTATGGAATAAATGATCATTTACGAATGGCAAATTTTGGATATCAACCGGAATCTTATTATAGCAGCCTATACATTGTGCCTTTGAAACAAATCTGAACACGATGTTTAATTAAAAATAGATAGATAGATTTTGCTATATATGTATAAAAGTACATAGTAAATTCGATTGTATTGGCATGCATTTTGGGTTAAATACAGGCGCATATACTAACACTCTTCTTCAATTCTTGGTTTTAACTTAAACTCATCCCTTCGTCGAAGGTGAGAGTAGATGAATTTAGAAAATAAAAGAGCCTAAATCACAAATGCACAGTGATGATTGTTCTCAAGTCCGTAGTAATTGCATTGCAAAAACAAGCTTTGAGTTCTGTGTACCGTTCAGGTTCTCGGGTTTCTCTTAGAGAAAAGTTTAAGGATACTGGTATAATGACATCACAGTACATTTACTCAAATATTCTATAAATATTTTACATTACCCGTAAAAATATACATAACTTCATTAAGAAGATATCCATAATATTAACTTTGGAGCTAAATCCAAACTCATGAAACCACGATTTTGTTTAACCAAGGTAAACAACTCTTTTATGGGGAACTGTATACGTTTTTACAATAAAATTCCGGGGCGTATTATTATATTAAAATTATCATTTCTTAAGTTTAAAAATATTTTAATTGAAAGTTAATATTATAAAATCTAAGACTACGTGTCAGATAAAGTTGTATTAAAAGACGACACGGCTCTAGATTCCGCACAAATTTGATTCAAAGTGTATTCCATAGCGTTATAGTTTATCTGAAAAGAGCAATCCCTAGAGTTTCATCTCTCATTCTTCTAAGGGAAGTCAGCGTAGTGAACGAGCAGTAGCTTAAAAGTGACGTTGTCAAGTGTAAATTTAAATTTATATTTTTTTATTATTTATAATTTTATTCTTTGACATTGACTTCAGAATTGTTTTTTTCCAGGTACTTTTATCATTGAATTAATTATTAATTACATAGTATAATGTATCCGATAGTAATGATTACCTCGCATTGGTAAGCCAAGAACTCGGCAGCGGTAAGCGCCAGACGTGGTGTGATAATTCTCTCGATGGTTGGGTCGTTGGCCAAGTTCAAGAAGAGGCACACGTTCTCCATAGAGCCATTCTCCTCGAAGTCCTGCTTGAAGAACCGGGCGGTTTCCATGTTGACACCCATAGCGGCGAATACGATGGCGAAATTGTCCTCGTGGTCGTCGAGTACCGATTTGCCGGGCACCTACACGGAAATGGTCAAATGCAATAAATTTCTTCAAAAAAAATTATAATCTACAAAAATAGTGTCGATTTTAATTGAGACGGGTAAGTGAGCGCGTTTATGTGTATGGGGTCGTCGTGTGTGAGTGTGTGCATTTGTCATCAACAGTGATCGGAGGATTGACGGAGTTAATTTAGCTAAACTAAAGAATAACGTGGATATTCCCTTCTAAAAATCTCGGGACTTCTCGGAACTGATTATATTCGAATATGCGTATTATTTATTGAAATTTGAGTACATATATTTCCTATTAAGTATTTGTTACAAATTATTGTCTCAAAAATAAAATTTTATTGTTTGTCTTTTTTGAAGACAGAGTAAAATGACATTCGCAGGGTAGTTAGTTTTCATAAAATTTTAAATAGTTATGTAGTTTTTGTCGATAGTTTTATCGATAGATTGTGAAAGGAGATAAAATTTTGCCAAAAATGACTGAATTGTGAATGTTACGACGTTGTAATGATTATTAGCGTTATTGCCTTCTTTATTCTTATTTTGACAGTTGGCCTAATAGTATCGAGACCAATTTTTAATCATATATACATTTCAACAAGAACAGCCGGATTTGATTATCTACATTGAATTAAAATGAAAAACTTTAAGATAATAATAACGCACACACTCAACATAGCCCCGCACTAGGAAAACCCTGTGTTGCGGGTGCCATGGATACACACATAGACAACCACAAATTAATAATAATAATAACGCACACTCTCAACATAGCCCCGCAATAGGGAAACCGTGTCGCGGGTGCCATGGACACACACAACACAAAATACACCCAAACTTACGAGAGAAATAAATGTAGGCCATACAAATATTTCTCCCGGCCCGGGAATCGAACCTGGGACCTCTGCGTGGCAGTCCGGCATGGTAACCGTTCGGCCACGGAGGCAGTTCTCTTTGTATATTTTTGCTCCTCTGTGTAAATGTCTCCTCTTTGTATTTTTCATAAACATAGTTCTAAATGCATTGTATGTAGGTATGTATGAACTTACAATTAGAGTAATTGGATGAACAACGGGTCGAGGATTATTCAAATGATACAAGTTCGGCTATTTATTCCATAAGCGTGACCGTGCAGTCGATAGTCGATAGAATATTTATCGACTGCAATCACTAGCTGCTCGCAAGCGGGCAACACTTTTGCGCAATAAACTGTCATTTTACTCGGTCTTCAAAAAACACAGACTATAGATGTGTTTTAAATTTTTTATTGAATTGATATTCAATTACTTTTTTGTGAAATTGCTCCACTAGTTTCTTATAATTATTAATTGTGTTTCTAAAGGTACAAAAAAACACGAGACAACCTACACTTTGGACTGTTTAGAAAATAAACAGTAAAAAAAGAAACTTACAAAGTTGACCAATGTCAAACAAACAACTTTAAAATAGCCAAAATGTCTTCCTAGATCAGACAACACATCTATTTGTAAGATAAATGTTCTAAAAGTTCATGGAGTTGTTTGAAATTTAATTACAGAAATTTCGAAATACTAGTTCGTGTACTAGTTTGTATGCAGTAGGGTTAAAATCGTACAATTAGGAGTGGGAAAGTTCATACCCTGACGAGACCGGCCTGTCTACAAATCTGAGCGGCGATCTCGTTGTGAGGCAGACCGGCAGCGGAGAAGATGGGGATCTTCTGCCCGCGAGCGATGGAGTTCATCACGTCAATGGCCGAGATACCTGTACACACAATGACCACTAGTTGATTCCAGTCAACTTCAGGTTGCTATTTTTAACATTTTAAAAATTAAGATTACTTTATTTTTATTTAAAGTTTATAAAAACGTGAAATGGAGGGCAAAATATTTTACAACTAAGTAGTAAGTCTTTTTTTTAAAACGAGTTTTGTTAATTTTATTACTATTATTATTACAAAATGTTTATTATTATTTTCTGATCTAGACGACTCGATTTGCCTTTCTATTGAATAGATTCGCTTGAAAATCGCATTGAAACAAATCGATACAAAAAATCGTTAGATTGTATGCACTTGAATCGATTTTCATAAAAATCGAAAAGTAATGTGCAAACTTAGTTGTGAACATCCATAGGATTGCAAGGAGGGTGCAGCTTCCTCTTTTTTGTCTAAAAAGATTTTTTTACATCGAATTTTTTAATAAATATGGAATAATACCAAATTTGCCGTTTCTGTCCACGATTTTGGGCAGAAATGTATTAAAACCTTGCTGTATTTGGGTAAAAACCCGGTTACACTCCAGGCGGGTTTATTGAATTTTAACACACCGCCCATCTTTGGTCGCGTGTCTTTATACTAGCAAGATTGCAATACATCTGTATTATAGCGACATTTCATGATTTCAACTCTCACTTTTCACTGTACCTACTAAACAAGTACCAGTGAAGAGCACTTAAACTATACTCTAGCCAAATTAGATGTAGAATAAATGTCAACAAACAAAAACATATGATTATTAGGGTTTTCATCTCAAGACTCTTTCACAGTTACCACAATTTCATCATTTTCCTACGAAATTCAACTAGATTATGGATAATACTAAATCTTGAAGCTATGTTTAAAATGAATATTATTCAACTTAAGTTTCAAATCACCTAAAAATGACATAAAAATTACCAGTAATTAATTATTTGTAAAACTCTGTCATCCCTTGCGACTTTTTGATTTGAAGGGAGAGATTGCATACATTCGAGTTCTGGTGGTAATTCAAGTTCGGAATCGGAAATAGACGCTGGTTGATATAATATGTAGTAAATTAATATCAAATAAAATCTTATAATTTTGTATCTTTTCATCTACCATTACCTACCATCTAGCAGTAAATATTAATAAGACGCAAACACTTATTTTTATTCCTAAATCATATGTATCAATAGGTATATTGGAAAATTTATAATTATTGGCTAGGTAAGTATTACTTCTACATAACCCAATTAACTACTTACCTTTTAAATTCCAATTACGAGAGCAGGCCGTGGGTAGAGCAAACCTAAATAATGAGCATTGAAAAAAATGTTCTTTTCCTATGCCATCATTGGTTACCTAGCAACGTTTTGTTATTAAAATTCTACATTGAATTTGGCTAAAGTATATAATATTACGTAATAGTCAGGAAAACACCAAAAATAAATCTATAGACACTCACTGCTGTGCAAAAACACAATTCAAATACAATAATAGTGTGGGAGAGAAAAACTTTGGTCGTTAATAATTGTTCTTTGAAATCGTAAGTACAATCACCCTTATCTTTTGTCTCACTCTATAATAGGTCACAAATCTAAAATCAAGCAACAAAAGTTAAAGAAAGCGTGCGTGCGTATAAAGCACATGAAGATTTTTTTATTTTCTTGTCCAAAAGACACACATTTTGTGAACTGAAATCAGAACATAAAATTCACATAACCAATGAATTTAAAAAAAATCTATATTTTTAAACAGTACTTACCAGTCTGGATCATTTCCTCTGGGTAGATACGGGACCAGGGGTTGATGGGCTGACCCTGGATGTCGAGGAAATCCTCGGCCAAGATGGGGGGTCCCTTGTCGATGGGCTTGCCGGATCCGTTGAACACACGCCCTGAGCATAAATAATAGTGTTATAAAAGTCGGGAACAACGAAGGTACCATAAACACTCAGACTCGAGACAATATAGAAAGGGATCGAACCCGGGACCTCAGAGATGGCGACACTATGAAAACCGGTGTGCAAGACACTCAACCACAGAGGCCGTCAGATAAATTAACTGCCTACGTGGCCGGACGGTTACCATTCTGGACTGTCACGCAGAGGTCCCGGGTGCGATTCCCAGGCCGGGAGAAATATTTGTTTTATTTCTCTTTTGACTTGGGGTGTAATTTCTGGTTGTCTATGTGAGTGTCCTTGACACCCGCGATACAGGGTTTCCCTAGTGCGGGGATATGAGTGTGTGTGCGTGTGTTCAGAATCGATACTATCTCAGCTCGAATTAAAACTTAATAAAACAGTAAAAAGTAGCTGAGACCGTAAACTAAGATATTAAAGATAAATTAAAGGTCAATTACCAAGTCTAGCATTTAACAGTGATGTCTATCTTTAAATGGATAAGTGTGTCTATGTGATTTCTAGTCATTAAACAAATACCTATATGTAAACCTGTGGCCATGGCATGGCGTCTAATGTGTGATAAACCCTTGATAAACCTCCCCGTGACATATTTGTCTCAGTTATTAAAACTATGCTGCCATTATTAAAATTAATTTTTTTATTGCAAATACTGAACAGGTAAGATACCGCGCTAGAGACATTCGTTTATTTGGTAATTAACTGTTATACATTTTGAAGAACACGGATAATGATATGAAATAGTGTATATAACTATCTTTGTCATTTAATCATAATTTTTCCTATAATTTATACATAATATATCAATCTGTGTGTTTTTATTATTTCTTTTCGTCTCGTTGGTCGCGCTCAATTGTTACGTTGATAAAATTACTGTGCACAATTGTCAAAATGCTTTTAAATCAGTTATGATCTTCCGGCCGTGTTAGGCACTGCGATATTCTTTTGCAGCCACAAGTTGCAGCGCTCGCGATGCGACAAAAATATGACTTGACGTTACGCTCGCCATGTTAGGTATTGTGATAAAATTTTTAAATGCCGGTTTATCACTCGGACTTGACAGCTAAATGTGGATATAATAGCTTTATCGCGGCGGCATGCAACGGGGGCTGACTTCGATAAATGATCTAACTACAGAGCAGAAAGATATTATATACCCACCCAACATGTCCTCAGAGACGGGTGTCCTCAAGATGTCACCAGTGAACTCGCAGAGCGTGTTCTTGGCGTCGATGCCCGAGGTGCCCTCGAACACCTGCACCACGGCCTTGGAGCCGCTGACTTCCAGCACCTGCAAAGCAATTGCAAAGCGCAAATTGTTAATGATTAATTCAAAGTACAGAGGGGGACAAGGGCTTGATCTCACTGGCCGTCTCCACCCTGTATTACGTAAGTGTTTTATATTTTTATTTTATTTAAAATTGCAGGCAAATAGCAGACAAGCCTTCTTCAAACATCAGATGAGCTGCTATATGTTGCCAGCATTTAAGAGACCTGTCGACACGCTTTATGAGGCAGCCCATGTCGTAGCGCAAAGAAAATAACTTCAGGAGGGACAATTCCAGATATAGCAGGATCGATGAGGGAACGAACGTGATACCCGCGTAGTCTTACAACGCCAGACATCTGTGATGTGGACATGGGTTCCACTCCTTTGGCGGGAGTTGCGATGTTCGGTTCGAAAAGATAGAGGTAGACCATACACAGAGAGCCAACATCTCCAAACCATCTGTGAGTTATATGAGACATAACTGGCAAGGGGCAAGAGTCACTGTTAAAACTAAATTGGCAACACTTGCTTAGGTATTATTTAATTATCAATCATGTTACTTGGTGAGCAAACAACATCATACCTGTCCAGAGCGGAGGCTGCCATCTGCGAGCTTAAGCTGCACGATCTCAGAGAACTTGGGAAACTTGACTTCATCAAGGATGACCAGGGGACCATTCACACCAGACACTGTCTTGTATGCTGTTGAGATGGAAGAAATAATGATTTTATCAAGTGAAATATGGTTGTTAGTATATAAAAGTGTTATTTACTGTGATGCCTGTTCCCTCAATAGTTCAAAACTAGTCTGACACAGAAATATGTGATATGGAAAATAAGGACATTTTCATTTAAAGGTAAAATTTTTCATCTCAAGGTGTACGAGTATTGCATTAAAAAATCACAAACGTGTAGTAAAGGCATAATTCGAAGAATATCATTCTAAGATCCAGCAAATTACAATGAAAAAAGCACTAAACACCCAATGTACATTAAAATATACTAAATACAATTACATGCTTCAGGCCCAATCTAGTGTGTCCTTAGTTTTGTATGAGAAATGCAACCGAGATTTCTAGATACCTATTATCATACAGAATATACATATAGCACTAAATTTGAATGTGATATTTTCATCATAAGTCTACATGATTAAATCAAGTATAAGTGATCATGGGAATAATATTGTCTGGGTCTAAATCACTTCACATGTTATGTACATTTTGATGTATGTGAGGCCTTAGGGGGGGGGGTTTGTATATATATATATATATATATGCCTGGAAATAATGCTGCACTCATTCAATCGGGTGGAGTATGTTAAGCAGGACGTACAAGCTTTACATGTACATCATCTCCTGTGTTGGATGTATCCAAAATAAGGTGACTGTCCAGATTTTCCAGAAGTATACATATATTATCAATAATTGCTACCTATTTGCGATTTTCACGAATTAAAGGTATACGCTTCTTATCTACATTACTTTAAAAAATATAACCGATTGAACATTTTAAGAAGAAGTGCGTGATTCAATTAAAAAAGGAAAAGTTTTTAGTGTTTTATTGCCATAATATAATGGGCAGGCATTCAATAATAACTTCAAGGTGACATCAGAATGGCTGGTTAATTATTTTTTAAATTTCTCAGAATATATCAAAGGTAGCAATTATTTAGAAAAGGTAGCAACTCTGGAATATACACTCAGTGCCAGACATGACAGGAGACAAAACATCCTGACGGTCCCAAGATAAGACACATGTTTGCGCCCAAACGCGCGTTTCAAATTTCTGACCTTAGGGTGATCAATACTTGCCTCATTGGCCGAATGGTTACCATGCCAGACTGCCACACAGAGGTCCCTGGTTCTGGAAATCGAACCAGGGACCTCTGCGTGGCAGTGGCAGGCCGGGAGAAATATTTGTATGGCCTACATTTATTTATCTCGAGAGTTTAGGTGTAATTTGTGGTTGTCTATGTGTGTATCCATGGCACCCGCAATACAGGCATTCCCAAGTGCGGGGCTATGTTGAGTGTGTGCATTATTATTATATTATTATTAACACTGAATATACACTTGAATTATGTATCCCGAGAATGTGTAAATATAATATAAAAAATTCAATTCAAATACACTATAAGACTGAAATTTTACACACAACTTCAAGAACATTGTTTTATGGTACTACAGAATTATTGTGACTACAATGAACTTCTTTTAAACATAACACGGTCATAATCATAATAAGTCATCAGTAGATTTCAGCAAGATATTGTGGGACTTGTGGGTGTGGTGTGTGGATGCTTGTGGGACTTAAAGCGCTTTTATAAAATCCTGATCCTTTTTTGAGTTATTACTGAAATTTTTTAAGAAAACGCATTTTTTGTTGTTTTGTTTCTGGTACTTCGCCGTTCGCGTTTGTGTCACTGCAAAATGAGGAAACTTATCCACGGAAAACAATAGAAAGGAAAAATAATTTGGAAGAATGGATCAGGGAGGTGCGAGTAAGGTTAAAAGGAATACATAAACATAAGTACACAAATGTAATATACAGCTGTATATTTATAAATTGATACATTTGAAAATTATAAACGAAATTGTGAATGGGATTTCAAACTTTTCATTGGTTAGTATAATCACATGACAACTTTTGGATGGTCTGTAATTCATCAATTTTGTGACATGTCTCAGTTTTGTAAGCCATTTTCCTGACAAATTAGATGCTTTCGAGATATGCAGCTATTCTCAAAAGCCATCAAAACATAGAAGGCAAACGTGTCCCAACTAGACTATCACTGCTTACATAACAACAATCTAGTCTTATTCCAAAGTATAAATGCATCAAGTAGCTCTTGTTAACAAAAGAACAAGTAGCTATGAAGGCAATGAAATAATTTTCAACTATTACACTTTATATACAAGAAACCTGTATGGAAGTATGCAAAATCTAGATTACTGAATCCGGTTATGTAGTTAGTGTGATAGACTTAAATTAACCCACATAAACATTTTCTTTTTTAAGGTGCCAAGTGTAGTGCAGCAGTAGAGCTCCTTGTGAAAGAGTTCGTCCAGGGTAGTACTGCCACCTTACCTATTTCTGCTCCCAAGCAGTAATGTCAGCATTACTGTGTTCCGGTTTTGAAGGGTAAGGATGCTGGTGAAATTACAGGCACAGGACTTGTCAACTAGTCTCAGGGTGACGGGTGCAATAGCAGTGCCCCTCATATCTTTGCAATTTAAAGCTCTGAGTGGCACTGTAACTGTTATGGACAGGCATGTAGCTTACCATCAGGTGCACAACTTGTTCATCCCGTTACTTATTATAAAAAAATATAATAAAAGGGATGAACAAGTCCTGCACCTGGTGGTAAGAGACATGCCTGTCCATAACAGTAGCAGTGCCTCACAAGAGGTTTATATCACAAAGAACTGAGGGGCAATGCCACTGCACCCGTCAGATTGAAACATAAGTTGACAAGTTCTATGCGCCTGTAATTTCTACCGCACCCTTGCCCTACAAAGCCGAAACACAGTAATGTGAGCATTACTGCTTAGTGGCAGAAATAGCTAAGGTAGCAGTACTTCCTTAATGAAAGTCTGTCACAAGGAGCTCTACAACTACTAAATTTGTAATTTGTACTTGACCTAAAGTTGTCACAAAGTAATAGGTCCTTTTTGGCAATTTTCCTCGCAGCGTAACTAAAGTGTATGATGCAAAACAGATCAGTAACCGAATTAACTGAGAAATAAATTCAAAATTTTATGAATTTGTGATTGTTTAGATTATATTTAGGGTCATTGTTTTTAAATTTTGGTTAGTAGAATTAACATTTACTAGTTTGTAACAACTTTCAGGTGGGTGAGTATGATTTACGTAACTTACAAAACTTAAACAAAAAGCAATTTCAAACAGATCAATGTGTGACCTATTTCTAACGTAAAGTAAGAACTCTACCCTAACGTTTTTCAAATCGTACTTGGATAATTCTGGCTAAAACTGTATTGTACCGTAGTAAGAAAGAAACACATAAGCAAAACTTGGTAACCAAGCCAGTGACCAAGCAGAATATGCCATTATATATAGTTCTTATTGTTTCTGGAGTCTCTAAAAACAGAGGAACAGTAAAATCAATATCAATTTGACATGACGTCTTGGGGAAGACTCACAGAACGACATTCAAATAATCGAAAGTGTTATGTACTTACTCAGACGTGGTTGGGATATGTAGTCCCTTGAGACAGCCAAAACATGTTCCTTGCTGGCCATTTTTCAGTTTTCTTTTTGGCAGTCCCGCAGGGAAATACAGAAGATTTACACTGCCTCCTCGCCCGAAAACTGACGAATGGAAGTGTTGTCTATGGTTTTTCACGTGCCGTCACGTGACCTGTCACAAGAAGTGTAGTTACCATAATTCACTGTAGGTTTGCCCTAAAATTATCAATATAGCAGAAAGTATATAAAATTAACCATATTGAATATACCAGCCAAGAAAAATATTATTTAATTTAAATAAAGTTTTTCAAGACCCTTACACTATGATTGAATGTAATTTAAAAAAAAAATGTTAACTTAGATAAATTCGTAGGTGCCACTAACGAGAATTTTACGCATTGATTGATTATTGTCCTCCAAAATGTTTACAAATTTTAGTTAAAAAGTGATTAAACGGAAAGAGAATTCAACATAATACATGAACAGTGCATACGGTGACGTTCCTTTGCATACCTACGTAAGATATTATTTGGTAGTACGGTGTTTGCATAACAGATTAAAAATAATATACTTTGCAGATTTTTTTATTGATTTAAAACTACAAATCGTTACTATTTTACAAAAAATATTATCAAATCAAATCAAATCGTTTATTTGCATAAAACATGGTGGTCATGATAACACAGTAATATACATATAAGTTCAAGCATGTTTCGCCCGAAGATAATTTAGGCATGCAAAATAAATGAAAAATAGGTCGTCACATGATTACATTTACATTAAGTTATATATAATTAATTTAAATTCTTTTACATAAAAATTATTGTAGAAATTCCCTAATACTGTAATATACTTTATTCTTTAACAATTCATATAATTTAGTCTTAAATAATGTAATGGGCAAGTGTTTAATGTCATTTGGTAATCTATTGTAAATTCTGACACACATACACAAACAATTTTGATTATATTTTTCTACCTTAGGTACGTCAAAAAAAATTAGTCTATTGGGATTTCTATAATTTCGATGGTTCACGTCAATACTCTTAATAAACAAATGTACATTATTTTTCACAAAAATGCTGGCTTCATAAATATATAAGGCAGGCAGGGGTAACAAACCAAGATCTTTAAATATAGGTTTATGTAATATAAGTTTACAGGATTCAAGCGGAGTCCTACCAGTAATTGCACGTATACATTTTTTTTGCGCCAATAACACTCTGTTTATATTCGTACCATTTCCCCAGATAAGAAGTCCATAACGTAGGGTCGAGACTACATATGCGTGATAAACTGTTAACATGGTTGACATATTTGTTATATTACGCAAACATTTCAAGGCGAAGGCAAATTTGTTAATTCTTTCACAAACGTTTTCGATGTGAGATTTCCAATTTAATTGTTTATTAATGATTATACCTAAAAATTTTGTTTCGTTTAGCTCGTCAATATTCAATTCCTTATATCTAATTTGTAGTGATATTGATGTGTTATTAAAGTTTATATAATTAGTTTTAGTTAAATTTATTTGCAAATTGTTAATGTCAAGCCATGTAGTAATTAAATTAATAGTTTTATTTATGTCAGCTTCGTGAATTTTAATTGTGTCAGTACAGATTTTACCCTTGGTAGTCACTATTATAGAAATATCGTCAGCAAACATTATACATTTATGATTGGTTACGTCAACTATGTCATTAATATATATAAGAAATAAAGGGGACCTAACACACTACCCTGTGGGACTCCGTATCTGTTAAACTGGTAATCTCAAGTAAATGAGACCATCTCATTGTTTTTATTGAATTTTGAATTGATTGAATGGTCGTTTTTATTATACAAACATTCTTTGTAACTACATTTTACGTTTTTGTCTTATTATTGTTCCATTCCCATTATCGCTATCTTTTTTTTTTGTGATTAAACAGATTTCTGACATTTCCTTTTGTAAACTAAAATAAACCTGCTAAAACATTCTCAGAACGATTTAAGTCGTTAGTAGTAGTAGTTTAAGCATCTTTTAACGACAGAAATACTTAGGGTGGCAGTATTTCTTTGGACGAACTCTTTCACAAGGAGCTCTAATGCTACTAGACCTTGACCTTTTGTGAAATGATCGGTGTAGTGCTTTATTTGCGTTATCAATTTATTTGTGATATATATATTATATATAATATCATGTATGTATGTACTACTAATGTTATCGAGAACCTTTAATTAGGTACCGTGTTTACGAGCACCACTGCATATAGATCCTAAGGCTCCAATTTGTAACCATTTCAGTTACTTTGGTCGATCAATAACGCAGACATGAATAGTTTGTCAATACAAAAGTCAATCAGTACAAAATCAACATAATGAGTACAAAACAACGCTTTTGTCAACAGTCTTCTGTTTGTCAACTTTCAGTGGGTGTGTCTTGATGCATTCATTATTTTCGAACTCAACTTACCTTTATGGTAAATTTGTTACCCTATTTTCCAGTAATTTAAAAATATTGGGCCACACTTTTCTTTACAATTTTGTTGTCTATAACTCGAACTTTTTCTTGAATGGCAACACGAAAGAAAAAGTGTTTCCAAGCAAAGGAAAAGAAAATAATATGAACTATTTTGACTTCACGTTGCCTAAGCCGTATTATGGTAAAGCTTTTAAAGTAATTTGTCCATTCATTGGTTAAGTAACCGAGTATATTTTCTTACAGATTTTAACTTAAGTAATAGGGGGAAGGAGGTTTGTCAGAAGCGTAGCAAGTGGAGGTCCATAGTCTTTGCCTACCCCGGTGGGAGACAGGCGTGATATTTTACGTTTAAGGACGACTACACACCACGAGCGGGTACGTGACGGGCGCACGCACCTGTACACATCGAATTAGACCCACCGTGCTCCCGACCCGACACGAGCCCGACTCACACCCGCTCTCTGTGTACGCTTTAGTCTACCGCCTTCGGCAAACTATTTCGCCATGCCGTGAGCGATGCAATCTACGCGTCGTACACCTAGTCGACTTCGACTGCGAACTTACGGGTCGTCAGTCGACTGAGTATTAATATCGGGCAGCTTGCCATCTTCGGAAGGCAATCGACAGTCGCCTGTCGACTTGATGTAAATGCGCCAGAACACTGCACTATGGGAAATAGTAGAACAATAGCGTATCAAAAAATGGTTTTGACCAATGTCTTAATTGAGATACACATTTAATTTTATTTGACAGTTTAGATGTCATAATGTATTATAAGGAAGGTTTTTTAAGTTACTTAAGTATGTTAATTTAATAAAAAATACATCCAAAATGTCCTTTCCCTTACTCATCTCGTTGTGCCGTATAATTTTGGAACTTTCGACTTTCGATAGTTTTCAAATTTGTTGTGGAATGTAAAGGAAATAAATCGTAATTAAATATGCGGACATAAACCTATCTTTGTCAAATTCATCAAAGGTTTTTACTGTTAGCGAAGCTTGCCGAAGCTTCGAATTTTGTGTTATTTCATAGCGTAGGTATTCATTATCACAATTTTATAAAAATCAGCTGCGGTTTTTTTCGGTTTCAAAAGATATGAAAGAAATCCTAACAAATGTCCTACAGCAGAAAAATACCCATAACATTGCAACGCGATAAGATAATATTCATTCTGTTGTATTTATCTTATTTATGAATATTATTCACACTACGCCATTACTATGAAATGCTCTGACACAATAATTTCAAAAATTTATTTTTTATACAAGCAGTCGTTTGTTACCGAATTACTTTTCCAACTCGTTTGAAAATGAATTCTTTCAAATATTTCAGAAGAGAACTAATACTTTTACTATATTGAAGGAGAAATAAATGAATCGGTGCTAAGAACATTTTTTTGAGATTGTTATGAAGTTTCGGAGGATAGTTCAGGTTTGATAATTAGTGATTTAAAAAAAAATCAGTTTAACAGTCGATGGAGCCAAGCATCACGAAAGAAGACTTTTTGAGGGTTATCAGTGATTGGTTGGATCAAGAGTTTTCTGTCTACTTCAACTGGAAAACGAGGAATACCAGTATATCTTACGAAAATTCTTCAAAATCTAGTAAGAAGCGCAAAAATACTACACTACATATTGAATATGGATTCGAACACTTCTTTGGTGCATATATTCAAGGACTGCGATCAAACGAAGAAAGTAATGAAGCAAAACTCATGGAGGTATTTAGGTTTGTAGATGCAGATAAAATAATATTAGTGCTAAAATTGATGGACATAATTTGATTGGATGCAATAACATCCAAACGCTGAGCGATCAAGAAACGTTAAGTGTATTTATTGAATTGTGTATTTATTATGGATGAACGGAACTGTTTCTTACTATCACTACAAAGTACAAAAAAGTAAATAAATCTATTACCCACCTGCATCAGCTATTGAAATTACAAACATGAGCAAAAATGTTATCGCTACAGGATTTATTAGATTTTTCATGTTTCGTACAAGCTTTCGTTTCAAAAACGGTCAGCTACGAGTGACGAAAATAAACGAATGAAACAAGAGAAGAAAATTATGGCACAAAGACGCTTTCGAGAAGAATTTGGATTAATAATTGATAAACTATGACAAGGCGGTGGTAATACCGATGACGGTAACACAGCGAGGTTTTTTTATAATGCAGTATGCTCTACTGAAATTTTGAGAAAGCGACTATGTAATCCTTCAAACCTTATCGCCTGGCATAATAATAGATTCTCAAAAATACGAGGAATATGCTTTGGAATATGATTGGTATTATATCTTCGGTACACGAAATATTGTGATTCACAGAGAATGTTTGGTTAATTATACCAATTAACCATTTTGCAGTATTACCTATCGGACAACTTTCAGAACACGCTTAAGAATCTCGTAATAAAGACTACAAAAAATTTAGATTACACCAAGCAAGAAAGTGCTCAAGATCTGCTGCAAATGAAGATGTAATTCACACGATACTTTGTACTTCTTATCCATATATTACTAGTAACCGAAAACCTTAAGTTAAAAATCGAAAGGAGCTTGACGAGAAGACGCTACGTCTATTGAAAGTGGACCAACTGCTGACTGATTCTGAAAAAGATATTATATGACACATTGACTTACAATTATGTGGACGTCGGGTCC